GAATGGAGTCATCTAGCCATAGTTTTTGTATTTTAAATGAACACCTTCCCCACACACAGGCAAACCTGTCCTTGGTGCTGAACACCTCCCACACACAGGCAAACCTGTCCTTGGTGCTGAACACCTCCCACACACAGGCAAACCTGTCCTTGGTGCTGAACACCTCCCACACACAGGCAAACCTGTCCTTGGTGCTGAACACCTCCCATACACAGGCAAACCTGTCCTTGGTGCTGAACACCTTCCTACTAACCATGACTGTTGGACTATCACGTGATACGGAGACCGGGTGTATTTTTGAAAGTGTATTTGTCACTTGTTTTGGATCAACGTTTACAATAACCAGTCATCATAGACGCATAAAGAAGCAAAAATTGTAGACAATCCTTGCCTAGTAGTCACGTGGGTAATAAAGTCTTCAGCATATCAAGTTCTAAAAACTACCCTCTGAAATGGTGATAGGATAAAAACTGGATGTACGGGGGAAAGCCTTTCTTCATCAAACAAGTTCATAGACGAAAAGTGTACATAGGAACTACCCAGCGATTTGCTCAAGCTAAACTTAAGAGACTACGGTTACCATCACTGCAGTTCAGGTGAATTAAAAAATGCAGGTAAATTCATTGTCTACTGTACCCGTTCTTGACACTTACATCAGATAACATATCTAACATTAATTTCCTCCTTACAAAACAGCTTCTGGACTCGGGGATCCCCACATAACGACCCTTGATGGGGCCGAGTTCCCCTTCAACGGCCACGGCGAGTACATTCTGCTGCGGAACACCAGCAGCGCCCCCTACCGCCTGGAACTGCAGGCACGGACCAGGCGACCAGTCATCAATGGGGTTCACGTCAGGGCAACCGTCTACAGGTGAGATACAAGTGTTATACTGTGTATAGGCCTACTCAATGACATGTACGGTATTTCTAATAGTTGTAGAATAGGTGCTGCTCACTACTTCCGGGACAGAAGTATTGTTTTGGGTGGTGCTTGTTTAAGGGGGAGTCTGTATCTTCTTAGCAGCGAGGATTGGTAGTGATTAGGTGGAGATTGTCTTTCAACTGATTGCCATGGCTGTTACCTGGCATGCTGTATGTATGGAAGTATGAAACCTCCAACTTCTTGTTTGTATTATTTGTTGATTCCGGACCAAAAATTACAGAAGAAACCTCTTTCTGTCTGTAGTGGAATCGCAATCAAGCAACCTTCTGATACCGTAGAGATCCACTCAACCAACACCACTCTCGGATTCTATGTTGTCATTAATGGACAGGAGATATCATCAGAGGACGTCTTTGCCGGTACAACTTTCCCCGATGGACGCATTTTTCCAAAGACTGGTGAGGATCTTTTCCCCTTTCTCAGATATCATTGCCGATTGGATATTTTGGCCAGGTTATTACGCATGAAGTCATAGTGCAAGATCTGTTACCCCCAAGTCTTTGAACATGCAGCTCTACACATTGGCAAGTGACGATTCCCCTTCTGTACTTGGTGGCAGCCTGTATCTGTATCTATATGGCCGGTATAATCGCCTCTTGGCACTATCATACAAGTTTCACAGGCACGCGGCACAGAGGCCGCTGGCTATAATACACCGAACGACTTGATGGTAATGAATTTCATTCCTTATTTGTCATAAATGTCATAAACTTGCTATTGATGTTTTTTTTTAATTTTTCAGATGAGTCCGGAAACCTGACAGGTGTTCTCGTAACGTTTCCATCCGGAATCTCAGTTTCCGTCAAATCGCAAGACTTCCTCAGCTACGAGCTGGGCATGCCGGGAGACATGGCCGGAAGGCTGCAAGGGATTCTGGGAAATGCAAATGGAGACCCATCCGACGACTTCACCGCACCAGACGGGTCACTGACCTCTGTGTCAAATCCAAACACTCCCCCAGAGTCAGAAGTGTTTCCCTTCGGCCAGGCTTGTAAGTCTGTCTGACAAAATACTTCTCAATCACTAGTTATACTTGCTATTTAGATAGACTTTTTGCTGTTGAACAACTTGGATGTTGACTGATACAAGAAACTGACTACAATTCAAAGTACACAAAATTGATAGATTTCAAATTGAATTAGAAAATATAACGCTATAATTCACTTCTTTACTTCTGGTTACGAAGGCATTGTTATGAGTGGCTGAGGCATGTGTTTGCATATCCGTGTGCCCAGAGAATGTTGATAGCACATGGGTGGGGGAAGATTGACAGGCAAGATGACAAGAGGTCAAAGGTCTTGGAATCTGGCCGGGATGGGGGAATTCAGGAGGCCTAGGATTACATACTTCTTGGAAGTCTGAAATATCCGATTGAATATTCTTGTGTTATGTAGAAAATATATCCATTTTTCCTTACTTTAGGGTCACTAAGGAACGTCAGTTCTGCTGAAGGCATTGACGTCTACTCCTTGACGCTTTTCACACGTTATCCTTCCGGCTCATCCGCTACTACTTACGGGGACGACAGTTTCGTACCAAAGTTCTTCACCACAGACCTGGACTCCCTCTTTGACGGCGACACGGCCCTGAAGGACCAGGCCATTACAGCGTGCGGGGGTGAAAATAAAACTGCCTGTCTGCACGACATTGCCGTTACGGGCGTCATCGCCATTGGAGTCGCCACGGAACAGGACTTGACCACTTTTCAAACAACGAACACTTTGATCGGTAATCCTTGTCATCGTTTTTGCTTCCTCTTTGTCATAAAACATTTTATTTGAAACTTTTCTCGTTAAAATGGAGCTGTTTCGTGTTGAGGCACAAGTAACAAATCTTGAAATAAGAGCAATATTTTTGTTGATAATAATGTTATTATGAAAAGGTATATAGTATTACGTACACAGAAATTATGATGCTTACAAGCAATGCCATTTACCATCTGATATGAACTTTTATTTGAATCATTAGAGCAATATTTTATGTCATTGCAGCTAATAACCCTCCTACATTGACGGGACCGAGTAACATTCGTCTCCGTGTTGGGGAGACATTCAGCACAACATTACAAGCCACTGATGAGTCAGCAAGTGTTACAATAACACTGGACGGTGTGGGAACCCTAACGCAGACAAGCGGCCTGCAAGCAACGTTTGTCTGGACACCGACAAGCACGGACAAAGCAACTATCAGCTGGATGGCCACTGATGGTCTGAACGCAACTGCAGTCTTTGTTCCAGAAATAACGGTAAGAGAAAATTATTTAGTGATATCTAATTGTTCACATTTAGTTTATCTCTTGAGCTACCACTGTGAAGAAATGGATTAACGAAATGTTCAGTAACTGTTGTTTCAAACCCTCCTTGGGTAGAATGGCCCTACAGCTACGTCACGGAACGGAACTTGAGCAATCAATCAAAACAGGTAAAATGTGCTAGAAAGTCTGTAATGCCCCCCGTCTCGGCTTGATATTATAATAATCTTTTTGATACCACAGGTTTGCGGCTGCGTGAATGGAGGAACGTGCGATTACGACAACGTTGGAGACCGGGACGAAGGCTTCTCTCCCGCCGCGTGCGTGTGCCCTAACGGCTGGGGAGGGCCTTTCTGTGAGGTGGATATCAACGGCTGCGATGGCAACCCCTGTTTTCAAGGTAATGAATTCGCACAATTCAATAATTCAGTTTGACATAGAAAAAGCAGGAAATCATATTATAGGGTGTCTTTAAGTAACATGAAAGTAAAACAAAGTTTGTCAGAAGTCAATAATTTCGCAATAAGGCTTACATGACTGTATAGCTATATACAGGCGACTTTCACATTGATAGATTATGTAGTAGCTTTGAGTCTCTGTTCATACATGTAGCTTGGGTGGGAGACTGAGACGAATGACTGATAGGAAGGCCAGGCCTAAAGGTTGCACGCGCTGTACTGTACTGTACCTAGTACGCCCTACGTTGGTGCAATACCCTATTAAACTACATCATGCACTTCCCTCTACAGTTCCAGTACATTCACAAAAATCAGAAACATTTCCCTGGCATCTGTGAACATAAAGATCACTAACAAAACCCTAATTACCTCTGTAATTTTCTGTTTGTTAACGAATCGATTGACACTAATGTTTGTACTCGTGCCTGTAGGTGTGACATGTACGGACCAGCCGGCTCCTCTAGCGGCCGGTGAAAGCGGCTACACGTGCGGCCCATGTGTGGAGGGGCTGACCGGGAACGGAGAGCAATGTGCAGGTTAGTTCGTAGACTGAACCATTGTTGTTGGTTTTTTTTTTCGAATATAAACTTTTATAAAGTCAAATATTGTTTGCGTAGCGTGAGCTGGGTTGGAGTGTCTGAATCTACGGACAGAGTAGGTTCACAACCGGTTGTGAATGAGAAGCAGAAGGACGAGAGATCAAAGCACTCAGCATTGGCAACATCAGAAATAAGATTCGATATGGAAGACTTCGGAAAGCTAATGATCACATTTACAGTGACTGTTGAGGAAAAACCTAATCTCCAAGCAGATCCCTCTCGGTGGCAAAAAGACAGTATCAAATTGGCCAGGCAGTATCCATTAGCCAGAGAAGCTCCGTGCCTTTTTATATATGGCCATATATAAAAAGGTAACGATAATTCCCCACAACCTCTGCTTGGAGAGTAGAAAAACCGAAGTGATGGCTCGAAAGCTCTAGGCGAGAACAAGTCTTTGTGTAGGAACAAAACTTTTAACTTTAAACGTGTATAACTAACCAACACAGATGAACTTTCATGGTACTCCTATTTTGCAGATTTGAACGAATGCTTGTTGGACGCAAATGACATCAATGCTCACCAGTGTGTGAATTCCGAGTGCGTGAACACGGCGGGTTCCTACACCTGCATGTGTCCCCCCGGCTTCCACAAGGAGGGCGGCTCGCACGTGTGCTGGGACATCAACGAGTGCCGCCAGCCCTCCCAGAACGACTGCGATGACCGCCACGGCTACTGTACCAACACGGACGGCGGGTACACCTGCGGTTGTCTGGCTGGATACCAGCTACAGAATGATGGAAAAACATGTGCAGGTGAGTTTTTGAAGTTTATTATATGAGGACGGCCTGTATGGGGGTGGAGGTGGGTAGTGAGTACGAATTACGCAAAATTTTCACCGACGATTACGAATTATGTTTCAGAGCTGATTACGACTTTACGCTTTGCCGCTTATGTACTATTACGAATTACGTAACTTGATTTTTGGGGAGGTTGCCTACGGATTACGGAGACGTAAACAGCCTGATTACGCCTTACGAAAAAGGGCATGCAGGCCCCCTTATATTAGAGTGGATTTGAATTCATTGCCCAAGCTAACCGACATCTAGTAATACAGTAGTACCTCTGTCAGCACTGACATCTGGAGCCGCATAGTTCCTGTTTAGAACTTTTATTCATCCTGTCACACCGATGTCGCCTCAACATTCGATTTCGTGCTCTGACCAATGTACATTTACTGAATGCCTGTCTTGTTTTGAGACGATTCCTACTTAGCCTATGGAATAAGCTATAACCGCATTGTTGATTTCATATCCTAGACATAGATGAATGTCTTGACAACAACGGTGGCTGCGAGCGAGAGTGTATCAACATGGATGGGGGCTACGAGTGCCGATGCGGAACCGCCTACTATCTACACTCGGATGGAAAGACATGTTTAGGTATGTCTCAAAGTCTTTATGATATCCGTGACATTGGGCGGAGATTGCGTTTCATTCGATTGACAGGGTTGTTATTCTGCTATACTGTTGTACTGGAAAATCATGGTGTGAAATGCAAATCATTGTGTAATACTGGAGTAAGTAACGCCATACAATGGTATGAGTAGTAATTCTTTTTATGATGCAACTCACTGGGCATTTCCACTTGACATTACATTGTATACCACAGTGCAGCTCCAATATATATTCACAAAACCCCAAAACACTTCGGAATCCCTATTGTCTGAAATCTCTTTCTTCTGTTTCATACCACAGAGCTGGATGAGTGTTCCACTGGAAATATGTGTGAGCAAATCTGCGACGACCGAGTGGGCTACTACGAGTGCCGGTGTGACCCTCTTTTCGCACTCGCTTCAAATGGCAGAACATGTTACGGTGAGTGGCCTGTGTGCTTTCATCATCATAATCATCATCGGTCGACTGTAGTGCAGGCGACTGCAAGTTCCCTTTATTTCAATCTGTTACTAGCAATGTCAGAGATCTGTTTCGCCGGGAGATGGTTTTTGAAATCCCCCATGAGATATTGAATAGAGTATGTGTTACGCTCTGTAGTTACCAAGTGGTGCAAGTGAAAAAGGACACTGAGCTTGCGGTAACTTAATAGTATATCCAGGCTACTTAAAAGTATCATGTATTCAGACATGTTTCTTGTGCTGCTTACAGTATGTTCTAAATGGATAGAAGATGATCGCTTTGTGTACTCTAGAGATCGACAGGACACATGTGGTCTGAAATCTCTCATACCTAATGTTTTAATCTTGTCCAATGTACCCACAGCCAACACCACCTGCGGTGCAGCAAACACATGCCATCCACAACCCATCGGCGCATGCGCAGTCAACAACGCTGGAGCTGAAGTGTGCTTCTGTGACCAGGGATACAAACTGCAACAGGACAATTCGTGTGTTGGTGCGTTTCTCGCCATAGGTCATTTTGTTTGTTTCGCATAAGTTTGGTGGGTTCTTTAACGTGCGTGGGGTAGGCTCTCCCCAAACATGGGACCTCCATTTAACGTCCTATCCGAGGAACTTCACTAACCGAAGCTAGTACTCATTTACACCCAAGTGAAGTGAGGAAAGTCGTGTAAATTGCCTTTTCCAAGGGCACAAGATCGGTGACATGGGTAGGATTCGAACCCTCTTGGTCCTGAGCCGAAAACGCTACCACTACGCCCTACGACCCCACCAAATTTAATATTTTGAAAACGTTTGAGCGATGTTATCAGACATAGGATATGGCTCCAGTTGGGAACCATCAGGAATTCCAAAAGCTGGGGACTGCATGATGGAACATCCAATACTTCAATTCTGAATTTTTTCTGTGTGTTTTCTTTTACAGATATAGACGAATGTGCTGACGGGACTCACAAATGCGACGAGAATGCCAAAGCATGCCGCAACACTCTCGGAAGTTACGAGTGCATCTGCAAAGAAGGTTATCACCTGTCGGCCGCACACGGCGGGCGGCGGTGTCAAAACATACACGAGTGTGACGTCAACAACGGGAACTGCAGCCAGATATGTGAAGACACGCAGGGGTCTTTCTACTGCAGATGCCAAACCGGATACTACCTGGACACGGACGGGAGGACGTGTTTAAGTAAGATATCAACCATTTTGAGTTTCCTTTAGATAGCCATTTCTTTAATTGATACTTCCGGGACAGCAGTATAGTTTTGGGTGTCCCTAAATCATGCTATGTTTGTATGTTTGGGTTCTGAAGTGAGTGGGCAGAATTTGGGCTTTACTTGATTGATAGGACACCCTGAACAGACACCAGGCCTAAGTACGCTAACAACAGCTTCCAGACTCGCTGTCAGCCGCCAACTGTACCTCCCCACGACACCCCAGATGGTAGAAGTGGATGGATAAAGTAAAGTAAAGATAGGATAAATGAATTGCAATGTATAATATTAAAGTTGGCCTCAGAGCTCCAGACTGTAATCTAATCTATGGTACTTTTTCTGTTCACAGATATCAACGAGTGTGCCTCCAACAGGACCAATGACTGCAGTACCAATGCCGTCTGCCAGGATGAAGATGGCGGCTTCCGCTGCACCTGTAACCCAGGCTACGAAGGAGATGGATCTCTCTGCGGAGGTCTGTTAATTCAGCAAAACAAAAACAAAGAAACAAAAACTAGGGTAGATTTTGATTCAGAAGTAAATGATGCTGGTGTCACTCATTTACTTAGTAATATTAATTTGGTTTAAGCCTCACTGAAAATGTGATGGGGGGGGATACTTGAGACATACATGTAATAAGTTTTATTTGAATACGTTTTTGATGTTTCTTTGTGTTGCGTAACCAGTAAAACACCTAGTGTTACTGGGTATATTTGTGTTAACAATATTAAAAGCCTGTTGTTTCGTTTTCAGACATCAACGAGTGTTTACAAAATGGAGAAAATGGACAAGGTAACTGCAAAGTCGGCTGTCAGAATAAGCTTGGATCGTACGTCTGTCTTTGCGGGGAAGGATACGTTCTGGCCAATGACAGCGTTTCATGTGAAGGTAAGCTACATTTCTCTCCACCTCCAGATCCGGAAGTATTGTTTTGAATGGGTTTGTCTGTGAGTTTGCGTGTATACTTGTCTGACATAGATGGTTGTATTATAGAGTGGGAGGATATTTGGTTACTTGATTGACTCCGAGGTTAAGCCTAAAGGCAACACGTTAGGGTGTGAGTAAATGGACAGTAGGAGGAGGAATTTAAGAAGTGGTTGGCTGTATGTAATACTTGATTGAACTGCGTCATGCAGTCCCCTCCATATTTCTGATGCATCTGATTCTGATTTCTGATGAAAACCTAAAAGGTCAAAACACTCCGTAAAATTTCTGATTTCTTGTTGAAAGCATTGCATCCACAGTGAAATAAATTGTTGTACAGTCATATACTATTAGTAATTGTTGAATATAGTGCATTTTTTCTATGATATCATATATTATGATAAATATATTGTATGAATTATTCCCTCTGCTGTGTAGATAAGGACGAGTGTTTGGAGCTTCCCTGTGATCAGACATGTACCAACAGCATCGGTTCCTACAGCTGTTCCTGCAATACCGGCTACAGCCTACAGGCGGACGGACATACCTGTGTAGGAACAGGTAAAATAACCATTTGTTACTTCAAAAGGAATTATCTAAATCCAATAACCATACGTCAGTTGATTGGAAAAAAAGACAATTATAAAATGATTTGTACAGATCTCTTATGTTAGATATTGGATTCTTGGTAGACACCACAGAAAAGTATAGCCTTTTTTCGTCTGAAAAGAACAACAACGGTGAATACACTGACCCAGACTGTCCATCATAATTAGCAGTTCAACCAATAAAAGAATGGCAATCAGAGGTTTGACCAATGAAAGAGTTGCTCCAAATGTCTGGCATATTGATGAGGTAGGTGGGGCTTTACATAGTCCCTGCATAATTTCGTCAACCAATATGGCACAGGTGGATGCATGCAGGTGTTTGCATGTATCTACAATGGGACTGAATTTCTGACAGTTTCTTGATCTTCCTTCCAACTAGAACCTGTTTGTAACCATGGATGTCACCAACATGGCGAGCTGGTCTTCAACGGCACTCACAAGTACTGTCAGTGTAAACGTGGCTGGACGGGAGACGGCACCACCACATGCAAAACAGGTTAGAGTTTTCGTAGTGTAACGTACTGTAGTGTAATGCAGTGTAGTGTAGTGTAATGCAGTTTAGTGTAGTGTAGTGTAATGTATTTTAGTGTAGACTAAGTGTAGTGTAATGCAGTGTAGTGTAGTGTAATGCAGTTTAGTGTAGTGTAGTGTAGTGCATTTTAGTGTAGACAGTTTAGTGTAGTGTAGTGTAGTGTAGTGCATTTTAGTGTAGACTAAGTGTAGTGTAATGCAGTTTAGTGTAGTGTCGTGTAATACAGTTTAGTGTAGTGTAGTGTAATGCAGTTTTAGTGTAGTGTAATACAGTTCAGTGTAGTGTAGTGTAGTGTAGTGTAGTGTAGTGTAATGTATTTTAGTGTAGACTAAGTGTAGTGTAATGCAGTGTAGTGTAGTGTAATGCAGTTTAGTGTAGTGTAGTGTAGTGCATTTTAGTGTAGACAGTTTAGTGTAGTGTAGTGTAGTGTAGTGCATTTTAGTGTAGACTAAGTGTAGTGTAATGCAGTTTAGTGTAGTGTAGTGTAATACAGTTTAGTGTAGTGTAGTGTAGTGCTGTGCTTGTTTTGCTGACTACCATGTGTTAGACTGTATGTGCTTTTCTTTGGTACATTGCATTTCACGGTGCTGTCCTGGGCTGTGTATGTTATGCTGTGTATTGCTATGATGTGTTGTGCTGTACTATGTTAAATTGCAGCATTGTAGTTGTGCTGTATTAATTCTTTGTGCTGTCCTATACCGTAGAGTGCTGTATACCCCTATAACATACTGATTCCTTTTGATTTCAGATTCTGCTGCATTTGCCAATGCTCTACACTTTCACGACCTTGTTTTCATATCCAATCTTGCCGACTGCAAGACGACAGAACACCAAACGATGAAGGAGCTAATAGAATTCACGGTAAGCTTGGCATTATATGCCTACAAGCAATAAAATTGACACAGTCATTTGTTTAAACAAACCCATGTAGTTCCAAACAGTCCATTCAATTTTTAAATAATCTAAAATTTGTCACTGCACTCAATTTTTGTCAATAACCTATTTTGATGTCATACATATACAAAACTTTAGTAAATCCAACAAGTGCCAAGTGTATATTTGTGTATGTGTGTTTCCTGAAGCTAAGTAACACAATGTCAATAGTTTCCAAGTTACAAACAAATGAAAACATTTACATCATCATTAGCACAGTATGTCATCAACCTGCTCAACATTCTATCTTCCTCGCAGTTGACTCGATTTTTCGAGACCCACATCAACCCTACCATACGCTCTGCATTTTTGGCCGCGTCTGTGTCTGACTTGAGGAACGGTAGTGTTGTTGCTGACACCCTTCTGACGACAGACCGCTCTGCACATCTGACCAAGGCTGACATTGCTCGCGCGTTCGTCCAAGGAGCGGGGAACACATCAGTCAATCTACTCGGCTTGAACGTGTCTGACGCCTCAGTTAGAGGTACAGTAACTGTTCCATTTCTTTATGGCTCAGCCGCTGTCGTACAGTTTTGATGCCTTTAATGATTTATAAAAGAAGGCTGAGTGTGTGAAACTTAAAAGCGATCACTCAATCTGGCCTGGGACTCTCATTTCTGTTTTTTAATCATTTATTTGTTTATTAACTGGTTTGATTAAGCATGCAGTCAAGGCAATCCAACCAGCAATTGGATATTATGAACTATAAAGTTAGTTATAATATTATAGTTAGTAACATTGTGTTGTGAAGAACTATGCAACTGTAACTATCTGTATCAACCAAAAACAACATCTAACAGTTGATTGTCACATTACAGCATTCTGCTACAAAGGATATTGTCTGAATGGAGGATCCTGTTCCATCCAAAATGATGCCAAGCAATGCAGGTATGGTTTACCGTATCTTTTAGTGGAAGTATTGTTTTGGGTGGCTGTGCTGTGGGTTTGAGTGTATGTAAGCATTGTACACTTGCTGTGAGTGTACTTGAGTACTTGATAGCAAGTGTATATAGCATATGAGAATGGTTCCATATGCATTTCCTGTTCATGTTTTGTCACATTTCGTTATAAGAAAATTTTCATATTGCTGACCGGCTTTTTGTATGTTTCAGCTGCCCATTTCAGTACACAGGACAGAGGTGTGAAACATACTTGTCAGGAGGTAAGAACACAGAAATTCTCTTTGCTCCTTTGAAAGAGACAACTGTTTTTCAAAACAAAGAGTTTGAACACATTTTCCACCGTCAGTCCTCTGGTCTTCTTCCGGATACCTAAAGATTATGAAATAATCTTGTTCAGGATTTAATATCTTGACGTTGCACATAAAATAGAGACACTGTTCTGAGATTCGACATGAATATAACTCCTCCAGGTTCTAAGAATCTCTCTGAGATCTCTAGACTTAAGTGTTCTAGGAATCTTGTTTAAAAAGTCTGCTCAATTAAGTCCCATCTTTTTTGTTGACCTCGTTTGTAATGTCAATGTATGTGAATTCCTTTTTTTTCACTTGTTTGTATTACCGTACACAATATACCAGTATCAGCATTTTCTTGAGCTATCCTCTGTGCAAATGTGTCTTGTACACGTCATAATTCAAACCTACTTTGATTGCAGTTGTCACCGGCACAACTGTCACAGTCGCTGCAGTATTTCTCATCGTGATCATCGTGATTGTCATCATGCGGACACGAACACTACAGTCTAAGGCTAGACGATACAAGTAAGTATTAAAAAATGGTTTTCCATAAAGTTTAATATCTGCCAGACTATAGCAGCTGCTACAAATGTAGTGTCCAATTTGGTTTGAACCATTTGTTATTCATGAGAAGCTCAATTCGGCCTGCGAAGTTAAGTACTAATGATTATGTAGAATTCTTTCTCTTACAAGTCATTCTTTTATTATCAATCATTCAGACGTTTGTTAATAATATCTGAGTGTGTTTTTCAAAGCTCATGATGCCACATTGTCAGACTTCTAACTCATTTTATAACCTTTCTCCAGGCCAACGTTTTTCAAGCCCAGTCATCACTGGGTGTCAAGTCCCTGGTCAAAAACAGATGTTCACAAGAAACACCTGTATGATACCCGGGTGACCCGGTTCTTGCCGGGCGTACAGCGGACACACCTGTCTGAGACCAGCTCAGTACGAACCTCGTCACAATTTGCCGGCACGGTGAAGGACTTGGAGTCTTATGAAAAAATCTTTGAGTCTGAAGTTCGTGTAAGTGTATTCTTTTGAGTTTTTGGGTGGGAATAATCAAAGGATTTCTATTCTGGATGTAGAAGTGTTGTGTGTTTGACTGCTCGTCATTGGAAGACTGAAAGTCAGAATGGCAGATCAAAAAATCATGATGTTTATTATTATTAGTTGGCTAGTTGACTGACTATAAAGTGGTTGGCCGGTAATCTCCAAGCAGATCTTTTTGTGGGGTTAAGACAGCTGAAGGTGGGGAAATGGATACAGACTGGCCAATTTGATACTGTCTGGCTGGTTGGTTACTATATGAGTCATTTCCTTGTTTAATGCCTGCCTTGGCACTTTATGCATACTTTTTGAGAAGTCCTTGCTGTGTTTCATGTCATGTTCTCAAATTTCCTTCACTAAACTATTTTTTCTGATTCCATGCAGTACCGCCTTCCACGGCCCATAATCGACCCGCAGGCTTTCCAAGATGACCGCCCTCGTTCCATATTTGGTGACGATGGACAGAGTGCGATAACAGTTGGGACGAGGAGTTACCCGGATGTTGATGACATTGGAAGCGCCAGTGTGATGTCGTTCCGTATTGCACGGCCAGAGATGAGCCCGCAGGCTTTACTTGCTATCGAAGAGAACCCTTCCAATGCCAGATCTAGAGACATCGGATGGGATGACAGAAGTGGCGGCGTGACGCCGTTCCGTATTACACGGGCAGAAATCAACCCGACCTTACTTGCTATCGAAGGGAACCCTTCCGTTGTCATGCCTAGAGACATCAGATGGGACAGCAGAAGTGACGTCAGTATGAGGAGATGTAACCCAGATGTGGATGACCTAGACACTGACAGCAGCGTTTTAATGACGGACAGCGACGGACGTGTTGATTTAACACAGCGCTACCTGGCTGCCAGCCGGTACAGCCAGGAACTGCAGTCTATCACAGAGGCAAGCAGCAGGCGTACAAGCTACACGTCCGCAGATCAGTCAGTTCGCAGTCGGTCAGTCGACTCGCGTTTCTTTGACGAGGACACAATAACAGAAACGAGCAGTTTCAGTTCAGATGTTTCTACAGTCACCGACATCACAGGCTCGACTGTGACTAGGACAGACACCGAGTCCATCTCAACAGTGGACAGTAACGCCCCACAAAACCTTCCCTACCCTTTCCACCTGTTACCCTCTCTGAACAGAAGGTACATGACAGACAACAATGTTCGACATGAACCTTTCTAGGAGACCTGCTAGATATTTCACTTGCACTTGTGACACTTGTAAAATAAAAATCAATAAAATTTGAATGAAAGTTGAAAATAAACTACCAAGAGATCAGGACTACATCAAAATGATTGTATTCTGGTAGACTTGGTGACTTCTCAGAATATGTAAGAAATCTGAATGACATAATAATAACGGTTTTAGCTAATGATTAGTAAAGTTAACAATGAAGCTAATTGTACAATATACAGGTTCAATACCCAGGATATATTCCCTTGCAATTGCTTATCAAAAATTATAAAATGTGATACCTATTATTAAGATAATGTAGATTTTATAATTGTCATTGTATTTTAGCAATGATATTTACATGTAAGTCCAAACTATTATGTATGTCAATAACATTTAATGTTGATATTGTTTCTTGTCGTCTATTTTGTGTAACTGTGTATAATATTAATTGTGTATAAGTCCCAATATATTTTCAAAGTCATAACCTAAAAAGATTTACTAAATGATGTATATATTATGTATATATATTCGGTTATGATGCTTGTCATAAATTGCACAAAATTCCTATTAAAATGCTATTAAAAAATAAGTTTCCGACGTGTGGCTTATTGACTGTTCATAATACATTACAGGCAATACATGTATTTTGGGTGCAAAGTGTTCTTGCGACACCATTATGAAAGGTAGATGAAATTTACTTCTAACTCATTGAAATAGTTTGGTATTCTGGACAGTGGCCATGGAATAAACTTGGCAATAAATGCAGGCATTAGAAAAACAGTCCTCCTCTACATTTGTACTTGCTCGATATCTTGCAAGAAATTATACCTAATATTGTGGTAGCCTGGCCTGGCAGGTATCCGGCTTTTTCCGTAAACCCTGCTGTTACTTTTTCTTAAATCCTCAGAAAATGTATGTGACTTGATGAAATAAAGATCTTGTTGATATACAGGCTTCAATGTACTATATACTGTATATTTGTACTAAAATACATCAATCCCTTGCTTTTCCATGGGTGTAGTGCTGTTGTGCCAAACAAAACGGCTTGTACAGTATTGAGGTCACAACTGCAATACTTAATACATGGAATTGATGGTGAGTTCAGCACCAAGGAGAGGTCCACACTAAGGCCGCACAACACAGTATTTATGGGCGAACCCCTCAAAAGTAGTCCGGGCACAAAGTAGTGCTGCATAATAGTAGAGAAAGGTGCAGAGATTGTTCTGTGCATGGCGTCGAAATATGGAACCAGTGGTAAATGTTGCAAAAGTACCGAAGTAACGGGTTCCTTTATCAGCACTCGGTATACAGAGGTGAGCCGGCTTCCGTCCTAGATCTCCAGTGCCGAAGTTACGTCAACACTTGGTGTCCAGTGTCGGCGGCTTCAGCACTGGAAACTCTAAATCGGCAAATCAAACCTTGTCTTTAGAAAGGGTACCGAGATGCCGCCTTTGAACTCTAACACTTATATTTTTGAGATCGTACCGCCCGGGAAGCAGATTATAATCGGGACGACAAATTGATCGGCAGGACAATACTGCAAGGCTCAGATCCTCACATTTTTACAGACATAGACTTGGCCTACGATACTGTACTGTACGCCGCGCGGCCGACGTAAGCACCAGAAGCCCAGTGCCGAAATGATTTGAGAACTCGGCTCCCAGCGCCAAGAGTCACCGAGCACTGGAACGATCCAGTGAGGAATCCGTTACTTAGGGACTTCGGCACTTGCTATCCAGTGGTGAACGGCCTCCGAGCACTGGTAGCGAGTGCCGAGTGGAATTCAACACTGGCTATCCAGTGGTGAACGGCCTCCGAGCGCTGGCTGGCCAGTGCTGAACGGCCTCCGAGCGCTGGCTATCCAGTGCTGAACGGCCTCCGAGCTCTGGCAAACGAGTGCTGAGTGGAAGTTAGCACCGGAAAACGAGTGCCGAGTCAAGATTCAGCTCTGGAATTCCAGTCCTGACGGTGCTGCAGCACTGGAACAAAGCCGTTTCTGCACTAGAATTCCAGTGCGGAGCTTTCTTCCGCACAGGGCCCCGAGTGTCGACGCCACTTTCCCCGTGAGTTCCGCACTGGGCGGCCAGTGAGGAACCCGTTACTTCGGTACCTTTGCGTAAATGTTAGAGGAATACATCAGTTTTGAGACTGTAAAAGTTTAATTATGGTGCGTGTTCAGTCGGCGTAGGTTTGCGCTTGGATACTTATCTCGTACTGTGCGTCAGCTGCAGTTCTATGACCTATGACACTTGTGGTCTCCCACTTTACAAATAGGGGCATCCACAGGTTTGGGGATATAAACACTTGCTGTGGCAGAAGGTATCCTGATTGTTGGGTTTCGCACAGAAAAAAAGTCTAAGATTTATAAACAAGAATAATTACTTTTGATCGGTGGCGGAATGGTGATGGTTAATCATCAAGGGCAATAAAGATTAATTGCATTCGCACTCCTATGCAATTATCACACATGGTACGGTCCGTTCGACCAGCTCAGCTGTGTGACGGACGCTTGCAAGCGGCGTGTTGTGTGTGAATTCTCTCCAACTTTTGAGGTAAATTTTCGAATTTTTGCCCGCAAATTATCCGTCTAAAGTGTACAGTATATCGCCTGGGCGTTCCCAGGTCGGATGTGTGCCGTTTTTGGGATGTTTGAGGGAGAAAATTCGTCGAAGTTTCCTTGCGCTCTGGAAACGAAAATATGGCGACTACCATGTGGCGGCGTGGCGTGGTGCTGAAGAAGACTCGTTCTTGCGAGGTAAGACAACAAATTAGCTCCTTGAATGTACATGTTAGTACTTCCAACAAACCTGTAGCAACAGACCACGTTATAATTCGTTATTCTAAACGTTATATTCCGTAGAAAATTATTTGCGTTTTGTGAAACGATATGTCGCACACATATTGTGGGCCATTTTGTACTTGAATATTTTTAATAGGCAGGCTGTTTTCATGACTATCGTGGTTTTGGGGAACTCTGAATATAGTTCTTCCGTATTGAGTGGCATTGAAAAAAGCTAGGAGCAAATTTTGCTGCTAAAACTTTTACAGACACGTTTTTTTGTTGAAAATTTTCACAGTTTGGCCCAGTGAACACCTTTTGGAACGTACCGCACGTGTGCATAATTAAATCCACTCAACGTTCCCGCCAAAAAAGTCGAGTAAACAAGAGTTCCCAAAGCTAAAATTAACTGGGTGCATGTATTATTTACTCCTGAGCACCCAAAATTAAATCTGTGTACAAGTGAAAATACATGTAGTTTAATTTCGGTTTTGTTGCTGGTTTATTCTTGCTTTTGAATCAGAGGTTGTCACATTCTTTTGGTACAATTTTACTGGATTTTATACTTCATTGCCAAATTATATCTGTTATTGATATATTTTGTATGAAGCAGTCACTATGGTTGCACTGATTTGATTTTGAGGATGAACTGTGCAATCTTGGTCCTTATTGTATCATTTATAGTATGTGTTAGTACTTTGTCTTTCTACTGTTTAATTGTACGCAACTGTGGCTTATGTATTTTGTTACGTGACAGTGTAGTTTTTCATACAAGTACACAATTGCAATAAACAATTCACTCGAAACCTTTTTCCTTATGTAAGGAAGAATAGGGCATATTTACGTGACGTCATCACCCTTGCCCCCCAATTTTTGTGCCGCCATGTTGAGGTACAACCCCAACCCAGCAATGTTTTGCCAAGAAGGCGGTTTCTCTTTTTAGCGAATGGTCACTCTAGGGCCGTCCTCGGTGCACGAATCTGAATTTTTTTTATGTGGTCATGTCCAGACTGTGCTCCCATGTGGTTTGACCAAGTTTGAAGCGAATCCACCGAGCCAAACTTAAACAAAAGCCCACTCCCCTAATTTTCTGCGAAGTTTCCGTGCTTTACAAGCTTTAAAAGTACCCCCTTTTTTTAAAAATATGCGCTCGGCGTAAACATTTCAAAATGTGGGTTTGAGGAAAACGCAGTCCGGTCCAATTGGCGGACAAGGGATCTCACTACTTCTGTACAAAGAACCATAGGAACAATGCGACAAGGCTTACGTACAAAGAACCATAGGAACAATGCGACAAGGCTTCGTTGGGTCAGTTCTCTTCATTTAAAACCCATTTCTGAATTTGTTCAAAACCCATTTCTGAAATGAAATGAGTTAAGAATGATTCGATTAGGGAAAAAAAGGGTCTTGAACGAAGAGAACTGACCCAATGAAGCCTTGTTGCATCGTTGCGATGGTCAGAGAACTGTCACCCAGTACAATTTTTACAATCATCTCTTCTTTTGAATTTTCTATTGACTCTCAAATACAGCCATTTCAAAATATCATTGCCATGTAGTGATGCATACCTAAACCCAATTTTAGGTTCAGGTCCAGATTTAAGTCCAGAGGTTTAGGTTCAGTTCCGGACTTGTAAGTCCGGACCTATAACCCCATGGCATATACAAAATTGCATGTTGGCAACCTTACAATGTTGTCTGGGGGAAACTTTGGCCACATGGCCACATGGAGGCCGGTACTTGATGATGCCCGATGGCAATGTTTTCTTTGTTTTGCAGCAAAGATTTTACAATCTACGGAAGGTTTTAGGTGGTTTGAAAAGAAAACGGGTATGTGAAATGGTCTTTTATAGTAATAAGTCCGGACTCGGTTCTTGACTTTTAGGTTTCTTTGGACTTGAACCTAAACATTCTTACAAGTCTGGATCCAAGTCCAGTGAACCGGTATGCATCACTATTGCCATGAGTAATGTTATAAGCAAAGTGCATCTAAATTCACTCTTTTTAGCATTGCTACAGTTTAAGTCACCAAGGTGACCTATTATTTGAGTCATAGTGCGCACCCATGCTACCCAACCAGCTATTCCCATTTCGGCCTCCTGCCAGCGTTTTTAAAAAGCTTTCTTGTTATCCTAGTGGGACCATAGAAATCCATCACAGAACTAACGTTTCCACGTGCCCAATGAATTGTTTTCATGGTTGATCTATGAACTTGTTTTCGTAAGGACTTGCTAGTCCCTTTGTACGCCGGCTCAATATTATGTACAAGATGCGCTTAGTATCCAATCTATTTGCACTTTACTGGTCCCAGACCAACATTCCACCACGAGGCAAAACACATTGATTATGAAGCAAAAAGTTTTGAAGGAAAATAGTGCTGGTTGCATTGGGTGTAGAGCTGTGTACCTAAACAAATTTTAGGTACAGGTACAGGTACAGGTACACAGGTTTAGGTACAGGTCCGGACCTGAACCTGTACCTGAACAATTCGACCAATTTATATGCTCTTCTGAACTCCTTCAATAACAAAAAAAACATAAATAAACTTGATAGTTAAGGTTTATTCTTTGTTTATGGCGAATGCTCAGATAAAATATAGGCTATATATATGTTTTTG